TCTCTTTGAAGGGGTAGGGTGTGCTGCTATTAAAGCTTTGCTATACAGCTGAGCCTCTCAAGAAAACTACCTTAGAGGGGCTGCACTTTGCAGATAAGCACGCAGAATAGGCCAGCCTTAGTACCCATCATATCCAATGCACAGCACTTTGGGGAAAATTATTAGGCGGTTTGTTTTCAGAATCCAGAGATGCTGGCTGAGAGAAGGAGCCTGCATGTCAAATTTAATTTCTGTGTGTTTATGTATAGACTGAAAACCAAGGACAACAGAGGTTTCACAAGCAGCAGAAGCGAAAACGCCAAACAAGTAAAAATCAATAAATAACTGTCTTGCAGGCTTAGCTAGACAGAGAAAATAGTTTAATTGTTTATCTTCCACAAGCTTAAATAGCAAGAGCTAATGGAATTTGAATTTTAACCTCTAGTAAGAGTGACTCATTACCCTTTCAGATTCACTATTGCATTCGAGAGCTGCAGTGTTAAATCTTTAATATTCTTCTTTAATTCTGAGTACACGTTAATTACTCTATATAATGAAGAAAATTGCTTTCTTCTTCAAATTTGTATATATAATAGAAGAAAATATAAAGTCGTATTACAACTGATGCTCTTTGGATGGCACTAAATTACTTTAAAAGCAAGAATACCTAATTAATTTCTAAGTATAATACTTCCAAAGAATTTATACATCTTTGTGTTGAAATGGAAACAATTTAGTTATCACCATCAATACATGATTATTAGACATGCTGGGCTTTGATCAGTGCTCTACAGACATTCTCACATCTGTCGTATGTGGTCACTGGCACTGCCTCTACCTTCTTCGGGGTTCTTGTTGTGACTATTGTTATGTGAAGTGTCTTGTACTGGGCCATCAGTTTTTTAGAGTTAAGGTAAATAGTGTGATGTAATTTTGAGAACTAGCCGGGCAGTGGTGGCGCACAACTTTAATCCCAGCACTCGGAGGCAGAGTCAGGCGGATCTCTGTGAGTTCGAGGTTAGGCTGGACTGACAGCCTCCAAAACAATACAGAGAAACCCTGTCTCATAAAACCAAAATAAAATTGAGAACTATTTGGAAATCCCTTACCTCTTTCCCACTTCCATCATTACATTCTAACTGAAGATATCAGGGAAGAGCAAACGACACAAAACCGCAGGTGACAGTCCACCCAAAGAGCCTGTGCTCTTTTAAACAGGAGCTCGTCAGCCCTCTGAAAGCATATACCCACCACTGGCTAAAGTAATTCTTAGATTTACCACCAAACAACAAAAACTAAGCAATCAAGCAAGCAAAGACCACCCCCCAAACAAAACAAGCAAGGAAACAAGAAATAACTTGCTTTAAGGCATTAGTATGTATGACTAATTAGCATGTATGTTACTTTGCTTTTAACATTTAGGGGTATTTGAAGTCCATTTCAAGAAGCTGCGGAATAAATTCTGAAGAAATGGTGAATCCAAATGTATACCAGAGCCAGTCATATATTCTACTATATGCAAAATTTTGTTTAAGTTTGAAATTCCTTCAAAATAATTCGACCAAAACAAAGGCATGAGGTTCATACTGTGTGTATAACCATGGCAAATTAAGCATATTGAACATCTTTTATATATGAATGGATAGTGTAACGGTATTTACTTTGGTTAAGATTTGGGGAAATGTAAGAAGGAAAGATGATTTTTCTGTGTAGAGAATAGTTTAACTTTTATTTGCCATCAGCAATAGAGGTATATTTATTTGAGTTAAAATAGTTTCTCATGTATGTGACTGGAAACACACTGTGTAGCAGAGGATGACCTGGAGATCCTGATCCTCCACATCCCATATTCTGGGATTCCAAGTGTGAGCCACTGTGCCTGCCCTTAGCTTTTCTCTTTGATATGAAGTGTTGAAGTAAAATTAAACAAAAATGAAAGTGGGCAACAGCAGAGCATGTTTCCTACGATGGTGCAGACTTGTAGCAAATGCTGTGACCAGGAAGTCATTACTGAAAACTCCTGTATTTGTTATTTCTATTTGTGATATAATATCACAACCAAAAAGCAACTTTAGACAAAATTGTTCACTTTGGTTCATGGTTACAGCAGCTCTGTCTATAGTGAATAGTGAGGTGCAGCAGCAATCACACAGAGCTCGAAGCTGAGGGGTCCCAATGTTTACTAGACATACATAGAGAGAGAGATAACTGCAAGTGGAGTGAGGCTATAAATTGTCAAGGGGTGTGCTCCTTGTGTCTTCCATGTGGCTCCGTCTCCTAAGTGTCGCATAACCCACCTAAACAGTGTCACCATCATGGCACCACGTACTCAAATATTTGAACCTGTGGGAAATGTTTCCCATTCTAAGTTACAAAAGCTTTGGTTCTTAGATTCCAATTAAATGTAACCAAATGATCGTAGCACATCAAATTCATGGAGGCTCCATTTAGTTAGTGTAAAGAAGCATTTTCAGTGTTCCTTGGGTACAAGGTTTTCTACAGTATGCTAGAAGTGAGTACAGGAATTAAGCTTTTACTCTTCTAGTTCAGCTCTACATTACATATTAAAAATCCTCCTGTTTTCTTAACTTTACACTTACACAGAAACAGTAAAATTTTAGTAAATCATAAATACAAACATATATGTATATGTATTACATATAAATGGGATATATCCTATACATAGTAAATTACACAAACACACATGCACACACATATGTGTCTTTTTCTCAGGAGTGGGTGAAATCTATTCTAGGATTATTATGATGTTGAACATATATGTAAATGACTTGAAGTTATAGTTCAATATTACTGAAGCACTTGTAGAAGAATGGGTTATGTATTGTCCATTATAACATAATTCATATCAATCAGTTGTCCTCCATCAGAAGTACCCAGCTTACTTATACTTTAATAAATATCGAATTCAATGTCCATCTCTTGTAGGATACCTTTATCCAACTCAGCCAACCAGTCTATTCCTTCCTGGAATGTTTCTCTCAAACATCTACCGATGTTTGTTTTCTCTGAATTCCTCTGTCCTCTCTTCTCCTTTTGCCCATTTCTATAACAGTAGGCCTCCAGGGTTCTTGTCTTCACTCTACTCCCTGTTTCTTCTGAATATGATCCAATAAAGGTTTCAGAGAAGTCTTAATTTCCAGACCGGTGTTTGTTCTTTTTGTTCGTTTGTTTTGTTTTCTTTGTGTTTTAGATTATTTTATGTGTCTAAGTGTTTTGCCTATATGCATGACTTTTACTGGTATCTGTGAAGGTTGGAAGAGGACATCAAATACCATGGAACTGTTTTCTAAACTGCATTGTGGGTTCTGAGAACCCAGGTCCCCTGAAAGAATTCCTAGTGCTCTCACCCAAGATAAGTTCTTCTGTCTTAACTTCTGGGCAATGTTGTTTCACTTTATATCTAAACAGTCCCTGGGTATCATGCAGTCCACGTTCTACTAGCTTCTGCTGCCCTCAGTACTTACACAATAGTAAGTTCTCTTTACCTATGTGAAATGAACTAATTTGAAATGGAAAGGAGACAAATAAGAAGCTTTGTCCCATGGGATAGACCTTTAATAACAACAGGAGACATGCTTGTGCTTAGAACATATCTGAGGAATGCATTATGCATTTCTGTAGTGTATTTTCTATAAAAGAAGAAAAGTACTCCCTCTGGAAATTTAACTTGGATGAGTTATAATCAAATTAGCTAAGACTGAGGGAGTTGGAGATATTAGAATAGGTGCAGGGAACAGAGAGGGAAAGACAGAAAAATGAGAGAGTGATTGCTGGATTATATTCATGTGCTTTTATTTCTTCTTCCCCTAACTAGAAGACTATCTGTTTGGACTGTCACTTGAAATGTTTAACTTGCTGAGATACTATGATCTTTCAAGAACTCATAAAGAGACGGGCTTCCATTAGTACAGAACACTATACATTAATGTTTAAAAGCTTCCCATGCAGAAAGAACTAGTTAAAATTACACCTTAAATACTACTTTTTAGCTTGAAAGATACCCCATCGTGCTAGATAATTCAAGACTGTAGAAGAAGAGTAACTACAAACTAATTCTCCAAGTTTGTAAAATCCAATATTCTATACTCCAGGCAATCTTCATATTGCTCAGTCACTGTAAATTAGATTATTCTTCAGATTATATTTAAGTCAAGGCAAGATGGTCTTCTCTTTACAAATGCAATTAAGTCTCATGAGTGGAAATCTTGTTAACTATTGTCAGGATAATTGAAATTGATTTGTGTTTACTAAACATTGTGAATACTAATCAAATATTAAACACTCAAGTGTTCCAGGTGCATTTAAACCTTTGGCAGTCTCAGAACTGCTTGAAAAGATTCCTTGTCCCAGAAGTGAGCATTCTATTTCAGCATTTTCTTCAAAATGTATTAAGAGAAATGGAGAAGGGCCCTTCATTTCCTTCATGCAATTCTCTTAGTTGGGAAACATTTGAAATCAATCTAGAGATCACATTATTTAAGTTTTATTTCCAGTGGTGCAAACAGCAAGCCTACTTTTTTCACTGCTTCATTCCATTCCAGGTTTGATGCTCTTTGCTCCTCGCAACGTTGCAGAACTAAACAGAATAGGTTTTATAGGAGACAAATATTACCAGCAATTTGGAAATCAGATTGGAGATAATGTCTGGTACCTCACATGCCCTGGCTTGTGACTTGGCTTGCTGCAGTAGCTTATCCTTAATGGGATGGATGCACCGGATCTATGAGGCTTAAAGAAACTCTGTGATACAAAAATAAACCCGTCACAGTCATTGGTTTTGAGGAAATTTTACAGTTGTTATTTAACCTGCTCCCTTATGCCCTGCAATATTCATTAGCAGATTCCTCTGTTTATGGCTGATATTATATGGAAATGGTTATGGAAAGCAAGCAGATGTAACTACTGAAATAAATTAGCAGGAAAGTTCTGTTTTTTACAGATGGCTCTATTAAATATGTTTTTCTCTCCCTTCATATTAACGTGCATTTTTCTTTCAACAGAAAACTTTTCTTTACTGACTATGGAGACATTCCCAAAGTCGAGAGATGTGACATGGATGGGATGAACAGAACAAGGATAGTTTATTCTAAGGCAGAACAGCCAGCTGCCCTGACATTGGACCTCATCAACCGATTGGTTTATTGGGTAGACCTCTACTTAGACTATGTGGGAGTAGTAGACTACCAAGGAAAAAACAGGCATACTCTTGTTCAAGGCAGACAAGTAAGTATAATTTTGTTAGAAAATGCAGTTGGCATAATAAACTAAAAGTGTGGTACTTTTCTAAAGATTAAAATTGTAGCATAGAAAATGCCTTACAGATAAGAATGGCTCAAAATATAAGATGCTTGTTTTATTTAGGAAGATGTTCTAGTCACAGTGATAGAGTGTGTGGGGGATGGGGAATTTATTATAGTGGCTTATAGTCTGTGGTCTAGTTAGTATAGCAATAGTTGTTTCCTGATGGAAATGCAAGGAATACAGTAGAGACTGGATGTCCTGAAGGATTCACAGAGAGCTGCTGGTTTTCAGTATAGGTTGGAATCACCAAGAACTATGTTTTAATATCAGGAAGGGAATGCCTCAGAAACAGGATTGGTGACTTTGCCTGCCAAAATGATGATGAACAGGCAAAACATTTTTTTCTTTTTCCATGACATTTTAATTGGGCTACCACAAGAGAACATTTTAGGGTGGCTGGTTACATAAAAGAAGATCCAGATTTAGGGTGGGAATTCCAATCTCAAATGATCCAGTCAAGGAAAGTCCTCACAAGTGTGCCTTTAGTTGATCCCAGATGTAGTGAAGTTGGCAGCCAAGATTAACCATCACAGTCGTGACACTGTAGGTGTGTCTTGCTTCTTTGCTTCTCTCTTGATAACAAACAAACTAAAGCAAGACCAAGAATTCAAAAGTGCTGTATTCACAAGAGAGACAGGGACTCCCTGGAACAGGACAGATGTCATGACCTACTTTCTGAAACTAATTCAAGCTGTTTATTCATATGGAGCTGCAGGACCATCTATCTATCCCATGGGATACTAAAAACAGTTTGCTTACAAAAGCAAATGTGTGCTCACAAAAATATCCTAATTATTTTAATAGTGCTAGACTTAATTTTGCAAACTGATTCATTCATGTGCTTCCTAAATGAGAAATTTCAATATTCGTGCCTATACATTATTTTTTCCTTTCTTTTACTTTTTGCCAGACAATGCTCCAAAATACCTTAATATACCCCTTTTCACTGATATTTTCATCCATATTTATCTAGCTCTTATTATTATGTCAATCTCTTGTGAGGTTTTCAGTGAGTTAGTAGATTTAATAATTGAATCCCTTTGATTTCTGTTATAGTATGAGATAGGCATGTTCTGTAATACTGTTTACAGTGATTCTTCTCTCAACATCTTTGTAATGCAATTTATTCTCTTTGATAAATGAGAATATTGACTTGCAAACTGTTTGATATTGGGACAATTATTTGCCTCATACCTTCAATTGTCCTAAAGAGTACAGTGTCTTTGTCTGGCTTTGGTTATGCCATTCTATGTAATTAATTTCAAAGATAATTATGACAGACTTAATTGTATTTATTTGCAATTATAAATTAAGCATTGAGTGGGGAATTCAAATGATTTTTCTCTTAATTACTTTAAAAGACTTTTAAGGGCCTATAGAAATGGCTTAGTGGTTAAGAGTCTGAACTGCTATTACATAGGACCTAAGTTCAGTTCCCAGCACCTACTTATGTTGGTCACAACTTCTGAGTTCAGGAGTCTGGCCTCTGTGAACACTGCACTTATACGTACATATCCACACAAAAATGTGAATATATACATATTTTAAAATGAATCTTTAAAAACTTTAATGTCTTTTAAATATCTAGTTTTCTCTCTACTGCCTCACTATTAATTTCATTCTATTTATTTATGTTTGTGTAGTGTGTGCACATGTGTTTTCATGAGAGCACTATGAGATTGGAAGCCAGATCCTGCAGAGCTGAAGTTATAGGTGCTTGCAGGACTTCTAGCTTATTAGAATAGTGCTGTTATATAAACTGTGATCCTCATGATAATGCAGCAAGTCCTCTTTCCTGCTGGGAAATCCATGTATCCAGTAGATGGGCACTCAGGGGGCTTACAAGTACATATTTATGGAGGCCAGAGGTTAACCTTATGTCTCCTTCCTCAGATCCTATCCACTATGTTTCTAAGACAGGTTCTCCAGCTGGTCTGGAGCTCTTCAGTTCAGATTGGCTGGGCAGAGTACAAAGAGCCACCTGTCATTGGCTCCCTAGTTCTAGGATGATAAACCCACACTCAGCCTCCCTACTTTTTGTGTGAGCTCTTGGAATGGCACTTAATTCTTTCTGCAAACCTGGAAATTAGTAAAGCAAGTACTTTACCAATTTATCTAGACTCCCAACTATCAAATATTTAGTTATCCTTTTTTTTCTTATGTCTGTTGTCTGTGTCCAGTGTGCTCCCTAAACATGTGCTAAGTCTGCCATCAAATAATCTGATATAGATATGGTCTTTAAAAGTTTTAAAATATGGAAACAGATTTATATGAGGAAAACTGAAGAGCTGTTTAATAAAACAGTTTTTGCTATGGGAACAGATTTTATATCCTGGCCAATTGTCTTCTGTGAAGTTATGGCTTCCTTGATAGGTTGTGAAATGATATCTTGTATAAAACAATATTAGAATGTCATAATGACAGACACAATATGAAGAGGGTCTCACATCCTGACCAAAAAAAGTGGAGTGAAGCTTGTTTTATTTACTAATGTGAGAAAAAGTTTTGCACAAATCAATAGTAGACCATTGGTGTATTTGCTGGCTATGATATCAGCTGTGTGAAAAATGATACTGGTAAATGCACATGTCCCCTTCCTCACATCATAAATGTATACATTCACTTAGTACAATGTAACAATGGAAAATTATTTGATGGCTTTAACAGAGAACAAAAATTTTTATGCTAATACTTGCCATTCATTTCTATACTGGACAAGAAGAAATAGACAATCTTGAAACAACACTAAAGCCAGTGTTCTTTTCTTCACACCCCATAAAAGGATCAGGGAATCACGGTGGTCCATCTATGCTACAACTATATACTTGACGAGGTATTTTTTGTTAAGGAAGTTTTACAAATCTTTTTGAGTAGTTTCACAGGCAAAGCATACATTCTCACTTTCTCAACTGAAGATTTTTGTGTTTTAACAGAGTTCAGGATAGTGTCTCTAAGAATGGTGACTGACCAGTGGTTCTCATAAAAGTTCTTATAACAGCCAGTAGTGACTCCAGGTATCCAGACCAGAATCATTTCAAATTATGTATAATTTAAGAAAACCATTAGTCTCCATTCATAGCAGTCCAGAAAACTAGTGGTCAGTCTTCTTTCTACCCTACTTGAAGATAATGTGAACTTCAAATACTCAATTCTCACTTCAATACACAAACCTTTACCAAACAGAGTCACAGAATCAAGATACTGCTCTAGTTGTGTGGATAGCAATAAGCATCATCATTGCATTCTATTGGCAATATGAATAGATACTAGAAATCATGACATTTTTAGTGAAATGCTGAAATTTTATTCACTATTACAGCACATATGTGATTTCTTTCTGTACTATTCTCCACACTGCATAAAATAGTAACCTAATATGACTTAAGACAAAAATGCGGCTTTTACCATATGAAACAAGTATTTAAAGTTGCTTTCTTCTTAGATCATTCGGGTATAGCTATGATTTTGCAGTGCCTACATATCTATGACTATATGAGCAAGTAGCCTATAAAATGTCTCAAATTATATGAATTCTGACACAGAATATAAACGAATGTGTTTCAAGGTCTGCTTCTTGCAAGCTTTGGACAGAAACTATAAAGTATATATTCCTGGTGAAACATGAATATAATTATTTCCATGCATATAAAACTATTTTATTCACTACTATATCCTATCCTTCACTAAAATGAATAGAAATTATTGGAATGATTCTTTGAAAGAAAATAAATGATAATATCTGTCTGACTCTGGACATTTTTCAGACTTGCAATAGTAGTTTTTCTTTCACTTTAGAAGAAGCATAATTAAAAGTCATAGCAGTATTTGATGCTCTTGCAGGTTAAACATCTCTATGGCATAACTGTGTTTGAAGATTATTTATATGCAACCAGTTCTGATGACTTCAATATCATACGAATAAACAGATTTAATGGAAGTGATATTCACTCAATAATTAAAATGGAAAGTGCTCGAGGAATCCGAACATATCAGAAAAGAACTCAGCCAACGGGTAAGCCATGGGAGCTCCTTATTGGTTTCCCAGCAGCAGCTGCAATGGGAACATAGTCCTTGTACTTCTGTGTGGTGTTAAAGAGGGTATCATAAATTCTCTGTTTTGACAGCAAAAACGGAGGTATCTGCTTGATAGGATAGAATAGAGCTCACTTCTCAAGTCTAAATGACAAACTGCTCAGCTCCTACCAAATCGTTTCTACAGCCATGGGATTGAAATGATGCCTCGATTTACTCTCAGCAAGCAGCTCTCTACTGTGATGTATGTAGACAGGCAGCTCAGATGCTAAGGTTTATTTCTGAATTTTGTTATCATTATTTGGAGGCAAATTTCAAACCAGGTTTTTGTTGTGGTATTTGCCTGGTGTCCACTAGTCACAGATATGGTTCCGGTTAAATATCGCAATAGCTTTATATTTAAAAAAAGAAAGTCCAGTAAAAACCTTAAAGATAATTGCATTGGTTTTAAGTGTTTTTCAAAAACAAAACATAATTATTTTTATAGTGGGTAAATAATACTACTCATCAGCCCAATTTAGGTCCAGTTATATAAGATTATTTTAAAGAAGAACATCACTACCACATATTGCTGGCATATTTCTATACTTATATTCCAATTTAAAACTAGCTTATAATTATTAAACATCAATGTATATGAATCTATCTGAGGGAGTATGCCATCACAAACACATATGAAACAAAATCAGTTTTTAGCTTTGCAGACAAGTTTATTATAATGTGATATTAGGCTTTCTGTATTTGCTACTTATTGACAGACAATTATCATGCACCAAGATTGATTCTATAAATTGGGAATATACTAATAAATTAAACACAAACTAATTTTTTGCCTTTATGGAACTTAAGTCCTACTGGAGACAATAATATATAAAGTGAGTAAGTAAATTACTTTTTTCATTAGAAACAATAACCACCACAGAGGAGAAGGACAGATTTATAGGATTTGAGGGGAAACCAGAGTATGAGGAGAAGGACAGATAAGGAAGACGATCGGGGATGAAGTGGTTACAATTTTTTGTTGAACAGGCAAAAGAGTCCTCACTAGAAAAATGTTGCTGAATACATACTTCGTAACACTGAATATGTGAAGCATTTCAATCTCTAGGGTGAATAATTTGCAAAGCAAGATGTACAAGCTCAAAGCCATGAAGGACAGCATGCCTAGATTACCCTGAAGCATCCAGGAGGCTCATATGTCTGAAGAAAAATAAAGACAGGAAAGAAGAAACAAAATTGGAAAGCAATAGATTATGTGACAAGTAGGAGCTTGTAGGTTATCATAAACCTCTTTAATTTATCATTTTTTTACTAAGTAGGAGTCATAAAAAATCATTTAACAGAGATTCGTGATCTGTATAGACTTTATGAACAATCCATAGATGTATGGAAATGACAACAGCCTGTCGGGGGAAGCAGATGATTAGAAAGATAGTAAATTATTCCAAGACAGTAGTACTCAAGTAAAGAGAGGTAGGAATTAAATTCCAGATCTTATGAACATATCTTGGATGGGATATAAAAGACAGAGTCAGGAATAGTGGCAATTGTTTTGTTAAAAAAATTGAAAGAGAATATATTGGAAAAAATGAAATGCAAAACAATTTAGAAGTGAAGACTGAGTTCAGTCTTCTGGGTTATTTCAGATGTCTATTATAAAATTAAAAGTTAATATTATGAGATACATACATTTACAAAACTATGTATATGAGTTCAGAGGAGATGACCAGGATGGATATATCAGTTGGAGTGATTGACATAGACACAGTATTTAACACACTTTGCAATAGCTGTGAACACCAGGGAAGTTATGTTTATGTGGGGAAAAGTTTCAAATAATGACATTGGACAACATCATCAGTAAGTCAAGAGTGGAAAAGTCAAACGATGACACCAAGGAGCAGTTCAGAAAATCCAAGTGACCGTTGGACTTGACTCTGTGAAGCTTATTGGCATCTGCCAGTGACATTTTGATGACACTATGTTTGAAGGAGACTGAAGGAGTGGAGATGGAGAATAGGTGCAAAGCCCGGTGAGAACCGTGCACCTTAGGTGAATGAGGGCAGTGCAGTGAGAAGCTGTTTCTGTTCCGAGACACATAAACCCTGGAACGTTTGTATGCTGAGAGCCAACAAAGAAAAAAATGTGGGTATGAAAAGGAAAGGGGAAGTGATAATGATGACAGGATGGTTTATCACCCAAGCTACTATAGAAGCCTTAAGACATCACTCAGCAGTAAAAGCATTCACCAAAAGAGCATTTCACTATTTTTTTTCATCTTAGAAAAATGATGGACACAGAAAGAATAAGTTATTATTTTTAAAGTCAGCCAGTTTGGCTGTAAAATTAGTCATGATATTCATTCACCTCACTTTTAACTAAGAGCTGACCTAAAGTATAATTGTAAGAATAGTCAGACTTATGAACACAGTGACATTATTTCTTCTCTTTGACCATAATCTTTCTTATTCACATGGTCCTGTTTCCATTTTGTCCCTCTCTAATTCTAAGCATTCATGAAGCACATATCCATGCCATAGTTTTCTTGGGGGAAATTTAACCTCCAATTTTCTACAACTCCTGCCATACACATGCTTCACTTATTAGCAGGGTTCTCACGATAGCAATGTACTCAAATATTAAAAACATTTATTGTGATTTGGAATTTCTCAGTAGTTCAGATATTACTCGAATTCTGTCTCTCCCAGTGTGGCTGCCTATATGCTGATGGTGGCAGAGATTTGCTCACATCCCTGCAATAGATTATTTTTCTATCATTTTTATGTTTTTTTCTTTCATTTAAATTAGTAGACAAAGCTTGTTTCTAAAACAACAAATCATGTTAATTATATTTGCATATATAAGCACACATTAATATTTCTCCAACTATTAAAAAATATATCACAAGAAGATTTTGTGAATCCTTTCCCCTTCTATGGTGCTTAAGATTTATCCCCATGTCATTGTAGTACTTAGCAGTGTGGTATATACATTCTGCTAGGATTGCATGTCGTTACACTGTAAAGTTTACACATAATTTCCTTGTCTTTTTTTTCTGTTGTAGTCAGAAGCCATGCCTGTGACTTGGATGCATTTGGACTGCCAGGGGGCTGCTCACACATCTGTCTGTTCAGCAGCAGCTATAAGACAAGGACCTGCCGTTGCAGAACTGGCTTCAACTTGGGGAGTGATGGCAGGTCATGCAAAAGTAAGTTGTTAAACATTTTGCCAGCAGGCATCACTTCATGGTTGTTTTTTGTCTGGCCGTTTGGTGATCTTTTCTTCATTTTGTTTGTTTTGCTTTTTAATTAGCAGCACCAACATCAAAAATAACAAGAGACTTACTGTGAAATTTGCCAGCAAGTATGAACTAAACATTTTACCTTCTCAAGTCAGGATTTACCTGTCTTTTAGTCAATGAGAATGGGATGCTCATTAGGCAAAAGAGCTACCAACCTTGTTCACCTTAGGGAACTATCGAGGGAAATTTTAAAGGAAACACTTTTGTTGGTTTTTAATTTCCTGAATGGGGTTCGTGAAATCAAGGATTATACACATGGTTGAGTATATAGTCTTCTTATCTTTACCAATATGGTCCTCAAAATAGGTGTCTTCTTTGACAGTAGTACACACACATCAATACTGTGCCAATGTAGATCTTGCCACAGTAGCAAGTTTACTTCACTGTTTCATTAGTAATTTCAATTAAGTATCAATACTTTCAATGACTTATCAAAAAGCCTCTCAAGGTTTAAGCTGCTAGAATATTTTATATGCTTTTTTGAGATTTGATACAGCAATTTAATGATTAATTTCAAACAGCATTATGACTATTTTTTAAGAAATGAAAACAAAATGCAAGTTAGATTTGAGTTACATGGTGAGAATATAAAGATATCAGGACTGAAGTTCCTGAGCCTATCTGGATAAGTGAGATCCTAGATTTGAAACTTACAGACAGAAGTTGAATGTGTATGCACAGTCATATTGCATAACTAACGGATGTTGCCCTTGAGAAGTGAAAGTATGTCACAATAGTTACATTAGAGAATTAATAGTACAGATGAAAGCTCTAGAACAAAAAGAAAAAAACTCATCCAGGAGGTGTAGACACCAGGAAACAATCAAACTAAGGATTGAAATCAATAAAGATAGTATGTCATGAAAAGGTATAATCATATACATGTATATATCCAATGTACATAAATATCATTGGGAGAAAGTCTGGACTCAGATTTGCATTTCATAGAAGTTTAATGGACCTTGTCTTTTTGGTGCATAAATCACCACAAACAATTCTAGCTATACTAAATAAAAATAGATTCAACACAAATTGATTCTTGATCTTTCAAACTTCATAAGCTCCTTCCAGCAGAAAGCCAGCCACCTGGCGCTATCAAAAGCCAGGACAACAGCAATCCACAGGGTAAAGGTTAATGTGAAAAACAGAATGTTTTAGCTGAGGTCAAGGGGTTAGATGGCTAGAAATGAGGTTGCTAGTTCCAGAATGACATCCTGTGTGCCACCCTTCGAATTCATGTGGAGGTGCCCTGTCTCTTTCCTTTGCTATTCCCAAGGACAAATGACCTGGAGGACATTATAATAAAAACACATAAGTTTTCTACTAGAGGTTTATCCACAAAAACTATAAAGAAACCTTTTCCTACACTTTAACAGTAGAATGGAATTACGATTTAAAACCAAAACCCAAACCTTTTCAGAGTCTGTAATTAAATTTCAGTTCTGATTGTATATACAACACACACACATACAGAAGAAATTGTAAATTAGTTGTGAAGGAATACCAAAATAAGATTGAAGAAAATGTAAGTATCATTTTTACAATTTTAAAGATCACATATAGACATGTGCTGACAATGTAAGTTCAAGTTTATCCACCAAAAATTACAAATTAATTAATAATATAAATTAATAATATAATAATATTAATAATAATAAAATAATATAAATTAAAAACTTTACTCTGGTTCCTTACTATAATGGAGTATTATACTGTCATTATAAAGACAATTTTGATGATATTTTCATGATATGACCAAATATCTTTAAATTTAATAGTGATAAGTTTTGATAAATAAACAAATATATGGACATAATTTTTGTCCAAAACCATTTTATAATTTCAAAAAATGAAGGTCCCAAATGAACTGACACTACTTTTATATCATGTAAAACATTACTTTGTAATAAAATGCGTTTGAAATTGAATAGAAATCACGAGACAGTGAAATCACAGCTAAGGTCATTAACATACCTTATCTTACAGCTCTATCTTAGGAAAGTTGTGAAATAATAGAGGAAAAAGAAAGTGATATCTCAGTGCTAGGATAACATCATAAAGTCAATATATAAATGGCTCAGTAATCTTTTTAGTTTGTAATTTAACAATTTAAGGCTTAATATCATAAATCAATACGGAACATAATTTGAATCTAAGAATATTGTAAAAATTGTTTATAACATGGAATGTTTTTCAAATAGTTAAATATTCATTAGAAGGAAAGGAATTCAGGCTTTTAGTGGCCTAGGAGGCAAGGGTTAGAAACAGAGGGCAAATATGTCCAACTATATTGTATATTTAGGTAAATGCAGTTATGAATTCGTTATTTTGTTTAATGAATAAGTACCAACAAAATTAAACATGCATTGCAAAATATATACACAAGTTAAATTTGAAAAATATCACACAGCAGCGAAATGTACAATACGATATAGTCCAAGGATGTCTATTGATTATAATGAGAATAAAATTAATTTGCAAAGTTCAAAATACAGTTCAAGTAGAGAAAAATAAACCATCTGACAATAGAAAACACATAGTATATTTCCAAACATGCCATATATAAAATTATATGATGGACACTGCAAGGATATCTAAGAATTACATTTATAGAAAAAAAAAACAGAAGACAAGAATTTATAGGAACTCAGTTAGTTTGAGCGGGCTTTATTTAATGTCACGGAGTTGACATCTTTCAACTCGGTCACATAATTAGGGCATAGTACCTACTCAATGACCTGATTTCAAGAGAAAGTAGATTCATACTTTAAGGTGGAGTTTTAGTAGCTCAGAGTAGGAAAGTGGTAAGAGGATTTCTTGGTTTATGGGCAGAAGGTGGGTGGGCCTAGCTGCTTTCCTTCCACTGTTGATTTTTAGACATCAGGGTCCTTTGTGCCTTTCTGCCAAATAACTGGCTTCCTGGAATTCCGAACTCAATTAGGACCTTGGTCTCATGTGTGTGTGTGTGTGTGTGTGTGTGTGTGTGTGTGTGTGTGTGTGTGTGTGTGTTGAGAGACTCCTTTAAAAAGAAGATTCATTAATACAAGACTGAAGTTTCTGGAGTAGAAGTTGAATGCATCTGGCAGGTGGTATTTATCTTCTTCCTCTGTTTTGAAGCATTTCCTACATACTAGACTTGGATACTGATGAAAATATTAGAAACTTCCCCCTTTGATAATAGCAGTAAATGTGTGTGGGAGTTGACAGCATTGCATGTCAAGCAGGGAGCTCCAGGGTTGCATCTTTTGAGAGATGTGCAAGAAACCTGGAGTGCAGGGTATGCACTGGAATTGTTCTTTGTGAGTGATGCAGTTGCCTTTAAATTGCCCATGCTTTATAAGGAAACAAGGAAAGAAAGCCCAAAGGGAAAGAGAAAGAAAAGGAAGACCACCCCGATTTTGGATTTTAGTATCTGTGGGATGCTGTTTTTTTTTTGTTTGGGGATTTGCATTATTTGTTTGATTCTATTGAGGCCTCTATTATATATCAGATTTTCTGGCAGACAACACCACTGCCTCTGACATTGCAATTAAGCTGTGAAGTAAACGGATGCTATCAGCTGGCACTGATTCGTTTCTTATACATATTAGTCACCTATTTGGACAGCAGAACACAATAACGTTCATGTACATCTCCCTGATACCCTGTGTATCTTTTGTTAGCACTCGTAGTCTGAATGTGGCAGCTGTGCACCACAGTGTTTTAATTGGCCTGAAGTTTTCAGCACTGTCAAATGTAATGAGTCCAATAGATAGGATCTTCAGTAAGCGTTAGCTTGATTGTAATGAATTAAACAATTAAATGTACCGGATATTTTAATAAATTTCCATTTCACAAGTTACAAGTTATTCAATGATCTGTCATGTTTTTGCTATACAGACAGAAGAATAATTAACTAAATATAACCCATTCAGAGAAGTAATTTCTGGTTTAATTAAAGTAATGCAATTAGTTGGCCTTCTTGCATCAAGATCCGTTTGGCATATTTTGGAGTTTAATTTCTAGTATTGAATTTTAAAAAAGTCTAATTGTGCCAGTTAATTAAACAGTGACATTCTGCAGTGTAAAGAAGATTAGGCGGCATGGGTTGTTTATGTTTGTAATCTTTCTTCTGCAGGGCCAAAGAATGAATTGTTCCTCTTTTATGGAAAAGGACGCCCAGGAATTGTTAGAGGAATGGACCTGAATACCAAGATAGCTGATGAATGCATGATCCCCATAGAAAATCTGGTAAACCCACGTGCTTTAGATTTTCATGCAGAAACTAACTATATCTACTTTGCTGACACCACCAGTTTCTTAATTGGCCGGCAGAAAATAGATGGCACAGAGCGAGAAACTATCTTGAAAGATGGTAAGTGACATTGTGACATTAACATCAAAGTGCTCAGAGATAAAGGCCTATAAAAGGCTACATCTAGTATGTTTCATAGTGTTAAGTAAATTCTGTGTTCTTCTTATTCCTTTAAAATATTTTATAATTTTACCATCTCAGTGTCATGAATTTCCATGATTTTCCCATTCCTGTATACTATATGTCTTTGAAAAACTGAACTTGAATTGTCCATTCTATTTTAAACACTATAGTAAGTAAATAGTGGTACATTTCACTTTTTGGCAAAATGTAGAATTACAATGATGCCTTTATATATGTCATGGTACATTATAAGGTTTAACAGGATGTCAAAGAATTCTGTAGTATTTGGTTCTCATTAGAAAACTTTTTATCCCAATAAAAGTACCAGTGTCCTTACTGGCATCAAATTCTTCTTCACTGTTTCTTATTCTACCAATTAAAATGGAATTGTATATCCTTGCTCTTGAAGTAACAAATATCTTTAAAGAAACTTAAACACATACATAATTTATCAATACAACTGTAGTAAAAATGTAATATTTTGTAAACTTCACATGTATGCACTCTGTTTAAACGCGTAAATCAGTATGAAATAGTCTTAGAAACAGCCAATGAAATGATAAAAATGATGAGTAAAAATAGAAAACTATCATAATACTAAGCCAACAGATGATTGAGTAACCTCCTATCATATCTCTGGCACTGATTTTCCTCATCTTTAAAGCCTACTTACTTCTTGAAGAGTTTAGAAGCCTCTGAAACAAGAGTCATTAATTTAATTCTTATGAAGTACAGTTTACTAACTGATTTTATGAGTTAAATGTTAAAAAGAATTTAGGAAATGGCAACCTTAATGGATAATATAAGTATATGAAAAACATAAAGTACTGCAGTATTTGATTAAAGATATCCGATCCAACCTAAAGAAAGACATAGTCCATCAGAATTGCCTAGGCAATGGGCATCAACAGAAAGGGGTAGACATCCTTACATGGATATGATCAATGAGTTCTTATGCACCATGTCATTTGTGGGGTTTATCTTAAAGGGAAATGTTAAAGGCAGAGAGGAACATTTATGCAGCCAGTATAAAAACTACTCTCCAAAATTAGGATTGATAAGCTCATTATTTGGGAGTTCAATTTTACAGATAACAGGGACAGAAGATTTATGCAAAGTAGAACTTGATTTGATGAAAAGCCTGGAGTGGAATATAAAGGGGTTCGCACAAAAATGATAAAATGAGAAATATTTTTGATATAAGGAAAATGTCACAGCCATATTTGTAGGAAGACCCATCCAGAGGTAGGATGCACAAGGAGCCAGAGAACATACAGGCTCTAAAAGAAAGCCGGAAGCTTTCACATGGATCTGAGAAATGGAGCAAGAGGCTAGGGGGAAGATGATTCAATCAACTGATTCATATTTCAAATCAAATTATCAATGACAAAAGTTCACTCTCTAAAAGAAGTTTCGAAATTAAATATGTGGCATTTTTGTATTTTAGAAATAGCTTACTGATTAAGGAAATATGTCACCATGATTTCGTATTCTAAAGAAAGTTGTAATTAAGGCTTTTGCTTTCATTGACTCTGGAAGAAGAATTCTTGCTACTGGTCTCTGAAGTGGGATATCAGAATTTGGGATAAGAGTCCTGAACTTTCTTGCCAAGCAGATCACTGGAATATTTTGCTTTCCAAAAAACCTTTCATGAGGCATGAAAATATAATAGAGAGAATCTTGGTTTCTGTTATTATAAACCTGAGGGGAACTTTGGAGGATTCCATGGCAGATGAGGTTGACTGAGGTGGGGGACAAACACACCAGGCAGACAGAGCTTAAGTGAGAAGTTTTGTTAGAAAGGAGGGAGGAGCATTCAGTACCTTATTTCTTTGGGCATATTTGTCATTATTCTTGCGGAGAATGTAGTTTATGGTTGGCATACTTTATGGAAGATAGTTTGTCCTTGTTATCAATGTTATTTGCATTTTTCTCATTAGGTGTAAAAATATTTCAATTACCTTTAGTCACACAGTGGAAATATTTGCCATGTTTTGAAGATAGTTTGTTGTAGTAGAGTTCAGGTGCCAATTTTCTTTGTAAGACTGGTGTTCAGGGTAATAGATTCTATCCTCATCTGTCCGCTGTAAAAGCAATCACTATCCAGGGGCAGACCTATGAAAACAGACTAGTATTTCAATATACAAACTTCACTCTTTAAAGATGATTTATTTTATGGAATAAAAGTATAATGATATAATTGTGTACTAAGATGTTAGCAACTGAAAGAGGGTATAAGTTGAGATTTACTAATTCATTGCATACAGATAGAAAGACAGAGAAGGATGACATGAATATGAATATCTGTAGGGCAGGAAATGTAAAAAGGGGTTGGCCGAAGGTAGGAGAGAGAGAGAGAGAGAGAGAGAGAGAGAGAGAGAGAGAGAGAGAGAGAGAGAGAGAGAGAGAGAGAGAATGAAACACTGCCAGATAACATGGACCCTGCAAACTGAGCATATATAGATGAAAGGAAAAAGAGAAAGAAAAGAATAAGGTCAAAAGGTGAGAGTAGGAGTAAGAAAAAACTAAAAAGAAGATAAAAGATGGAAGGAAGGCAGGCAGGGAGGAAAGGAGGGAGAGAGGAAGGGAGGGAAGGAGGAAGGAAAGCTATAACAGAACAAGTACAGAACTGGGGGGGAACTGGCCGGCTATGGTAGCCTTGATTGATGAACATACATGGGATTGGATGGTGGAGACAGGATAACTGACTGGTCAGATTATGGGCTCTCATCTGCACTCTCTCTGATTCTTTGCTTGGTGCTGGACTGTCCCTTCAGTGGGCAGCTCAGTTTTATGCTTTGAGTTTTACTCCAGATAATCTGAGTACCATTGCAGCTACTCATAAATTGAGACTCAGATCAGGCGACAGCTTTGTGAATTCCTTCTGGGCTCAGGTAGCATATTCTGGGCCACCCAAATTCAGTGCTTGTCAGCCTCTTACACAGGGCTCTAGCTCCCAAGAGTTCTAGAGGCTTCTTTAAACAAATCTGTAATCACCAGACTGTGGTACATGAGTGCAATCCCAACACTTGGGAGGCTGAGACAGAAGAATAACAAGTTTGATTTCAGTAATGGCTTTATAGTTAGAATTTGCATTAAAAGTAATAATTAGAAGCAAGAAAGATGTTCATTATTAAATTTCTGATATGAATAAAAGAATATAAAATACATGACAATCACCGCGTGTGTGTGTGTATTATCATTCCTTTTAATGTATTTTGAGGTACAGTTTTATTTTATTAACTAGGCCACCCGCAAACTTGCTCTGTAGCATACGCAGATGTTTAACTTATGATCCTCTGTGTCAGCATTCTGAGTAGCTGGGCTTTTAGTTCCAGACTCAGACAGTCATCAAAAATTTTAGTAATAAAATTTTCATAATTTTATGAAGTAGAAATTCTCAGTATAAGCTATGGAGAAGTACATTGCTTATTTGTTTCTAGGATTATATGGTTCCTCTTTGATATTGTATTTGGAACTACCATGAACATGGAGCTACTGTTGTGAAGTTAGTAATTGTACTATTGTTTAGGTTAGTTCAATTAAAATGAGAGTCTCATAAATTACTCTCACTAGCTCACACTGTGAGAGGAGCTAATATCCATGTTAAAGCTGAGCAGTTAACACGAAGACAGTAATTAGAAAAGAATTTTAGGGAATGCTATTGTGTTGGCTGAACACCTTGATTCTTAACCTAAATACAGAAGTATTCTCTTCTCCATACACGACCATTAAGATCAAGAAGCTTTCTTTCCCAGTGCAACATTTAGTCAAGTTACATTTCTTTTTTAAAAACTCACAACCGTGCTAAAACTAAACAAGCAAAGAAAAAACAAGAGTCGTGCCAGTCATATTTGAAGCAGAAGTGTAACTTTAATGTTCACTAGAATGTGTGGATTATAGTATATACATGAATGAAGATCCAAGACCAGCACATTAGCAAGGCTACTCTGAGCCCCATTTGTGGGGCTTTCTGAAGAGATGGCATTGCTAACAGACTTCATCCCTTTCCTAGTGCTCTGCCTCTCATTTGCAACCCTCCTTGACACTGCAGTCTGCTATCTTGGTGTCTGCTTTCTGAGCCTCTTCCCTTCTCAACATTTTGGCCTGCATTAAGGGAATAGGAATAGCTTTGTATGAACTAGCCAGGTTGTAAGCAGACCCCTTTTTGACTCTGGGGGAGCTTTAAAAATTAATTATATAAAAAATGTTTGCCAAATGTCACAGGGTAAGTTTGTAGTCCCAGCTGAGGCAGGAGAATTGACTGAGACCAGACCTTCAGGGCTAACTTGGGCAGTGGAGCAAGAATCTCTATCTTTGAAAAGTAAAGAAATAAGAAAATGTAAAGTAAGATCACTTGATCCTTTTGAATGGTATCTGTCAATCATGTCTGTGCTCAGAATCTTTCAGGACTTTACAGTTGGGTCACTCTAATTTCACTTCCCTTGGCCAAAGTACCTGGAGCTCTGTGACTGTAACTCCTCATCTTTGATTGTCCATCGTTTAGTGATGTCATTTCTTGTTATTTTCCAAGTACTCTGCTAGTGTTGCCTTTCTACAGCTAAGGGGCTTTGGTAGGTGCAGTGGAGTATCCATCTCCTCCTCAGAAACAAAGGGCTTGACTTCCGCCCTCCGTGATGGCAGCTCCCCTTTCAGCCTTTTTATCCCCTTGTTGCAGGGAGGTTTCCTGAGCCTTTACCAACTGCAGATAACTTCATTTCTGTACCCCTCAAAGGATTGTTCATTGTCCTGTCCTGGTGGGTAGAAAGGTCTTGTCACCCTTCCTGGTGATTTAGCTGTTTTCTTTTGTATATGAGTTGAGTGAGTCTGAGGGGTGGATTGAGTTTCTTGTCTGTGGGAAACTCGGGGGTCTTTCGAAGGTTTCCCGTTCAGCTTTTAGTCTTTGTCTGTGAACTCAGTTGAAGGAATTCTTTGTG